GGGCCGATGGATGGACATATCGACACGCGGGAGAGAGAGAAGGCCTGTTGCTGACCAGCGGTCTACTACCGCTTCTAGGACCTCCGCGTCGGTAACAAGTACCGTATCGGCCGAAAGATCGGATCCGGCTCCTTCGGTGACATCTACCTCGGCACCAACATCATCTCGGGCGAGGAGATTGCCATCAAGCTCGAGTCTGTCAAGGCCAAGCACCCCCAGCTCGAGTATGAGGCTCGCGTCTACAAGTCCCTCGCCGGTGGTGTCGGCATCCCCTTTGTCCGCTGGTTCGGAACCGAGTGTGACTACAATGCCATGGTGCTCGACCTCCTCGGTCCCAGTCTGGAGGACCTCTTCAACTTCTGCAACCGCAAGTTCTCGCTCAAGACGGTCCTGCTCCTAGCCGATCAGCTCATCTCCCGCATCGAGTACATCCACGCCAAATCCTTCATCCACCGCGATATCAAGCCCGACAACTTCCTCATGGGCATCGGCAAGCGTGGTAACCAGGTCAACGTCATCGACTTTGGTCTCGCCAAGAAGTACCGCGACCCCAAGACGCACTTCCACATCCCCTACCGCGAGAACAAGAATCTGACCGGAACCGCCCGCTACGCCTCCATCAACACCCATCTCGGTGTCGAGCAGTCCCGCCGCGACGACATGGAGTCCCTCGGCTACGTCATGCTCTACTTCTGCCGCGGCTCCCTTCCCTGGCAGGGGCTCAAGGCCGCTACCAAGAAGCAGAAGTACGACCGCATCATGGAGAAGAAGATGACGACACCCACCGAGGTCCTCTGCCGTGGCTTCCCCAACGAGTTCGCCATCTACCTCAACTACACCCGCTCGCTCCGCTTCGACGACAAGCCCGACTACAGCTACCTCCGCAAGATCTTCCGCGATCTCTTCGTCCGCGAGGGCTTCCAGTACGACTACGTCTTCGACTGGACCGTCTACAAGTACCAGAAGAACGCCCAGGCCATCGCCCAGGCCGCCAACATGACGACTGAGGACGAGGACAAGGCCCGTGCCTCGCGTCCCGCCGCCCAGCCGTCGAGCTCCAAGCCCAATGCCATCCCCAGCTCGCGCCGCAAGATGCTCGAGCGTGGCGCTGGTGACTCCCCGGAGACCAGCCGCGCCATTGGTGGAAGTGACAGGATGTGAGTGTTTTTTTCTTTTCTTCTTCTTCATGTTTTCTTTTTCATACGCCATCGATGTAAGCCCAATCGAGGACAAGCCCCCCCTCCCCGTCGGTTCCCCCTCCTTCCCCCATCTGACCGAAGGAGGAAGGGGGAAACCTGCGGAGTTCGCTCTTCCTTGGCGCCATTTGAGTGTGCTTTATAACCGATCACTATGCCGAAAGGAATTTGCTGACAAGTACGGCTGACTCAGTGGACAATGAACAGGCTTCGCTCAGCATCGAAGGGAGCGGGGTATGCCTCTGGCAGCTACCGCCCTAATTGATGTTTGAACCAGCCCGACTCTCTCCCCTTGACCATGGCAACACTCTCTCCTTGCCCGGTTCCCATCGACGGAACTCAAGTTGTTGTCTCTCTCATCCCTACGGCAAGGGCTATCTTTCTTTCGTTTCCAAGGGGCCCGCAAACCAACCTCTCCCCGGCACGACGTCTCTGTCCCCCCTCTCCATGTAAATCTGGCCGCCCAGGTCCGCAGCTGTGCAGCATTGTCACCTCTACAGTCCCCCCGCCCCCCACAAGCACGGCTGCGTTGCACCCCTGGACGGTCCTGACATGGACGGCGACGTTGGTTCTGGGCACCGACTACACACGATGTTTCCTTGTATTTCCTTTAGTCTTATCTGCGCCTTGCTTTATCTCGTTCTTCGACGCATTCCGGGAATCACTACAGACGGCTCCTCGCACGCGATGGCTCAGGTGTAGCTTCTCAGACGACGACTCTGTGGATCGACTTTGGGGGTGGCCTGCCGGCTAACTCCCATCGCTGGCCCCATGTCTCGTCTGAGGAGCACCATCTGAACGGCACTTCCGGTGCTCTTTTCTATCTTTCAATTGAGGAGTACCGAAGGGATGGGATCGAGGGACGGCTTCGGTAGCTAGCTTTGATGCTACCGACTCTCGACTCGTTTCCCAAGCCGACCCCAGACCGACGCCTTATTTGTGTCCCGCGAATCATCCGAGGGTGGCGCCGACAAACATCCACCGGGGTGCTCTGTCTAGTGTGTCACCCCATGTCGTTGCGGTACAGCTGCGTTTTCTCAGGGACGCAAGTTCCTTTTCTCTCTCTCTCTCTCTCTCTTTCTTTCTATTCTTTCTTCTCTATCTCTGCCTGTTTTCTGTCTCGCCCTTAATTTTCCTTTCCTCTACTCTCCCCTATGTTCATCATACTGTCTCACCCCCCCGCCTTCTTTCAATCTGGCAATATGGCATCTCACGTCATGGCCAACCTATGGGGGGGTAGCGCAGCAGGAGGAGAGGCACTGGTTCCCGACGACATTCAACATGACCGTGGATCTACCCCGGGTTCTTTTCTCCTTCTTCTCGTTGTCAATACGGGCCTTGCAAATTGTGCGACGACGTCGGGGACGTGCTTGAAATGGGGATTCCGGGAGGCAGTGGTACGTCGGTGGGCAGGCTCTGCAATGTCAAATCATATCAATGATCATATTCATGCCCCGTTCCACGTCCATTCTCGCACAGCTTCAGGGTCGCCCAGTAAGACTGTCATGGGATGTCACGGCTGTCGACGCCTCGAGGAGGTTGTTGCAGCTGGTCAGTTATTGCATAGTAGATAGGTTCCCCTACCCCCCCCTCTATCCCCACCACCTGAATGCACACCGCTATCTCTATACAATCTGTGTTGTCGTGTCCATTGTTCGTCTTGATGTGCCATATCCATCGATGTCCACCGGTCAAGGGAAGAGCAGAAGCTGTATGTCATGGACGGTTCACCGTCCATGATCATGGGCGGGACAGATGTCCGGTCGCTTGCGTCACGATGGTCCGTATAGAATACCGTCTTGGGGGTTTTTTTTTTTTTTTTTTTCGGGAGGCAGGCATGCAGTCTCATGCAAACCTGCGAACATGCAGATACGCAGACATGTAGATATGTAGACATGTAGACATGTAGACATGTAGACACGCAGACATGTAGACATGTAGACATGTAGACACGCAGACATGTAGACATGTAGACATGTAGA